CACACACACTTTTACTACAATAAAACCATGATTAATTTTCGTAAGGGAAGAAATTGGCTACATGCATGAATTATTGAAACAATAGGAAATGGTACACACTCAAATGGTTATTGATTAACGTTTCTCAATCTTATTATATTAAAATTATTTGCATGGCGAAAATTTCTGCCCTATCTTTCCCCTATATATCTAGGTAAAGTGTGGTCTTGTGGCTGTGACAACAGGGTCAAAACTTATTTTAATTACAGAGAAACTTGAATGGAAAGGGAACTAAAAGTCCTCCAGCGCCATCTTATGGAATTAACGCAACAATTCATTGAAGACTTTAGATTTATCCTATTTGTCCAGTCTGGAGATTTCGTTTTCACAAACGTTTTAAAACAAACAGTAAACACGTCAGGCTAGTCAAGTGCAAATCCATGCATGTTACGTAAAAGTTCTAGGTCTCTTTCAGGTAACTGAAAATGATTGAACCATAAACTTCTCCGTTACATCCGGTGAAAGTGCGCGGAATGCTACAAGTGCCTCAAACTGTGGTTAAAAACGGAAACAAAGTTGCATTCCGTTAAATAACGGAACTATAGCCTATAGTCGTTAGGTAAATGCTATTTTAATTCAGTTCTTAGCAGCACATATCTACTTCAAAATGTCTATCCTCTTGGCCTGACATGATGACCCTGGCATTGATACTTCTGCTGATGATGAGGGAGTCTTTTCTGAATGTTTGTGGACCACAGTGTCAAATTACTGCATAGCAAACTATAAATGAAGCTATACAGATTAGAACATTATTTTACAATAATAGTCGTTTTATATATATATATATATATATATATGCACGATTAAACCCTTTCACACCGATGAGCTTTGTAAAAATCGATGCGTTTCAGAAAGGCAGGGCATAGAGGAGAAACAATAATGTACAGTATGTGGAAAATAATGTGTTTTTTGAACCTTAAACCGCATAAACATTTCATTACACCAAATAAATGTTATTTTTTTAGCAACATCATATGACCCCTTTAAAAGGCTTTTATTGGCAAAAAAAGAGAGTCAATATTTACAGTGTTGACCCTTGTTCTTCATAACCTCTAAAACAAATAAAAAATAATCTAAACAAAGCGTGAAATAAACATCCAGCCTTGGTGTACTTAGAAAGGAGATAGTGTCAGTGAAAGGAATACTTGAGATGAAATATGACAGGTGATATGTGAGGGTAACTAGGTCTTGTAGCAGAATATTTTTATTATGTGTCATTTGCATTTAAGCTGTAGTTTTGTTTTGAATCTATTAGATTCAAGAAATGGCATAGCACGTGAAAACACAAATAATGTATTTCTGAGTTATAAATAGATTTACATGTTTATTTATGCTAATTTATTATGTTCTGTATTCACATCTTGTTTTGTTGTGACACAGATCAACACAAAGATCAAGACGTAACAAACAAACAAACAAACAAAAGTTTGTCCAAAGGCACGTGAGAGACTAAGTTAAACTGTAGGTAGCCTACTTTTGGGATTTATATGCCATATAGTTTACTAGAAACTTAAAGTTGAGCCCTTATTTACTGACACCCATGTAGTTCCAAACCTAGCTATATGTACTTTTTTATATAGGCTACTACATTTTTGAAGATTGTTTATGGTGACCATAAAAGTAGTTGGCTTATCTTCTGAATCCATATAATGACAAATCATGGCAATTCTCCATTCTGCATTTTCAAATGGCACGTATAGCCCTCACCTGTTACACTGTGTAGATATTTGACGCCACATCCGATGAATTGAATATAAATGCAAAAGCGAATTAGATTACAATATCTGCTCGAATCACAATGGATATTCATTTGTGAAATATGGCTTCAACTGCAGCTGCAAGATACACCTAACTGTTAACGTATAGGCTACTTCATCTAATGTGACAACGTGATCAATAAAGTCTTATTTGCTTGACAATAACAGCGGGAAAAGTCAAAAAGTAAAAACGGCCTAGAAATGAAACTGTAGCGACATCTAATGGAAGAAACACAATAATCCATAGTATGGCACATTGTGCTGCTGCTCATCTTGTTCAGTCGGGATGTTTTGCTCCCAGTATCGCTGTTCAAAACAGTAAACAAGTTAGACCAGTCATGTGTAGTGCCAGGTGCAATCACATACCCATACAGGTTTAGGTCACGTTCAGGTAGGCCACTCAGTCACACCCGATAGGTTTTGCGGTGCGGGATGATGATGTAGGCGCGTCTTAACGACACAAACTTCATTCTTTTCACTTCACTTTCCTCAAGCGAACTGATACGCGTGCTTCTTCTGCAGCGGAATATAGACCAAAGGTCAGCAGTATATTGTGCTTTTAGTTTTTATTGGATTTCTTTACCGAACACATTTTAATCCATGTGTTGATATTGATATATCACTGTTTTTTTTTAAATCTTTTAATCATTTCATGCTTTCAGAGTAATACGTTTAATTCAAGATGAATGAAATTACTTTTGCTTCGACTGTTTCGCGGAGCTCTTGTTTTCAATGATAGGCTAGGCTACTGGACATTCCATAGTCATGTTCAGATGACTAAATCTTTGGGAAAAAACTATTTTCTCTTTAATTTTTTTTCACGTGACGGGGGGGGGATAGGCTGTCTTCTAATACATTTCACCGATGCATTGAGCTGCTAGGACATCGTTTTCTTCTTTTTAACGAATGATATCGCGTGTCTTACCAGGACAAAGCGCAGATGTTTGTATTACTTTGTATGTATTACTCGCATGAAACGATGCACCTTTAGCCTAGTTTGTAGCCTATTGGTTTGTTTGAGAACGTGGGAATTTCCAGCGTGCTTCAAAACCTGCTTCTCTCTCCTCCAGAACAAACATGAAGCCCTTGGCATTGCTGGCACTTCTGCTCATCATGAGTGAGTCTTTTTGAATATTTCTTTTAATATATTCATTAAAAATATATACTTTTTATTGGTCACATTTTGTTATACATGTTATTTACATGAAACAAGTTTGTAATTTTTTTATCCATATTTAAAACAATTCTGATGTTCCTTTAGAGAGCAGTATATTTCTTCTTCTTTTTGGTATATCTGATAGTGCCTTTCAAAAATACATATTGCCTGTCTTGGAACGTTTGTAATCTTTCCAGTGTTTGTAAAGGAATTTGAGTATTTTGTCATGATAATTACTGTCTCTAACTGTTCTTGTAGGTGGTTCTGCAGTGGGACAAACGTTGAAATCTAATGCGACCGGCTTTGTTGGAAAGGATGTACTTTTATCATTTAACTGTTTTAATGTCCCTAAAGAGCTGATATGGCAGAAAGGTGATAGAGTAGTGAATGCTCATTCGCAAGACAAAATCAACATAGATGATTCCTACGTGGACAGGACGCAACTCTTCCTAAACGAGGAGAAGAGAAACTGTTCCCTGCTGCTCCGCAACATCTCTACAGCAGATGCAGGACTGTACACCTGTCATGCCCTAGACAGTGTTGATAACAACATCTGGTCAAAGGAGTCTACAGAAGTTAATTTAACAGGTGAGTTTTCTAATTATGAATTTATTTATCCAAGCAGATCAATAGTTAATATCTTGAAAGGAAACAGCAAGCCTCTTCCTGTTTTACACTTTCAGTGTGCTTCCCTTTTCAAAGTGCAAGTCTGCTTAGCTGTAGTCTACTAGGACTGGTTAGATAATGACGTGTAAGAGAATCACAGGTTGGAAAAAAGCTTCTAAAAAGCAGAACTTTCATGACAACCAAAGGAAGTTGAAATTGTTGCCACTGCAGCAGAACCGAAAGTTATTGCCTACGACAATATCATAAACATCATTGTCGTCATCTGCGGTGCAACCAGTGATAATAAAATAGCTCATCTATTGAATGGTATCAGAGACTAAAGAATAAAAAACAGTACTTGTGTTGTGTTAAAGTATGAATAATGATGTAGGCTCTGAGCTGGGGTTTCAAATGCTGAGATTGTGCTAGAAACTCTGCCTGTGTTTCCTTCATTTTTTTTTATGTATTACAAGTTAGGATTGTAAGCTGTAATGTGTGGTAGTGTAAAGATAATGATGACATTGATATCTCATAACATATCTCTTTTACCAGTGGAGAGCAACCCTGAAAAAGTCGGCCAAACCGAAGAAGAATCTGTCACAGCTGTCTCTGTTAGTGTTCCCATAGCGGTAGTAGTGCTTATACTGGCTGTTATCCTGCTTCTAATCCTACTGAACAGAAGACAACATCGGACAAACACGGTAAACAGTCAATATAATATGTTTCAATGTTTTTTATTTAAATTATTTACTAAATTACACAAAACATCATAGCAAAAAAAATGTCCAGATACAATAAAGATACTAGTCTAAGGGGTTGTTCACACCGAATGGCTGCTTTTAAAAAAATAATTGAACCGTTTATTCAGCATCCCACGGCATAAGCGTCACACTTTTGAGATGTCATGTTAAGTTGCAAACAGATGAACTTAAAAATGTGCTTCAAGACACCTGATACACATTTTTGTTTCAGTCAGTTGCACTCCGTCTATAATTCCTTTTAATTCCAAGAATATTACCCTTAATGACGTTTGAGTTTTGCCATGGTGCACTGAAGAAATCGATTTTATGACCTCTTCATATACATTTTTTATATTATTATTTCTATTTGAATAAACCTTTTCCTGTAGTGGCCCAATTCCTTGAATACGCTCATGGCAAAAGTAAACCTACACCAGTTGCAGTCACACACTTTCAGAGCACAGCTTTAGGGCTTAAGGTCCTGTGTTTGACACCTTTTTAATCATAGTATCTGTAACATTTCCAAAAAGCCTGACTGTGATTTTTTTCTTCTTCTTTTTTGCTATAGGACACCGATGATTTACCGATTGAGAAACCTATGCTACAGAATGTGTGACGTGCTCTTGCTTGACAGTTTAATGGACTAACTTCTATGTTGTAATGCAAGGTCCTTCACAACAACAATGGACAATAAGAGGCCTTAGCCCTAAACAAATGCATTCGCATGTGGGCATTACACAGCGGTGCGTGCCGATCCGTCTCGCTTCGAGACAGATTAATGTGCAGTCTTCAGTTGTAACACTGTTACTTGATTACTGTTACCACTGAATTGTGAATACACTGTGATTATACATTCAGTAGGCATTACAGTTTTGTAATTTGACAAGATTCTCCTTGTAGAAACTGTCTTTATTCATTCTTTGAAGAACAGATGTAATAGGTAGGGGACGTGCAGTTTATATTTTGCCTTTTCCTCTCTCTTTGAGGCACACTGGTGGTCTCAATCCTAAACAAGCTTTCAAATCAGTTTATTTTATTGTTCATATGTGTACAGCAATCATTTACTAAGCACTCATCATGTAAGCTTCTTTACATTTACTCTTGTATGGGTTGTTTTACTCAGCCTGTGCTGATTTCATTTATGTGGAAGAAATAATATGGCACTCCCTATGGGATATGTTTGCTTTTTTTACTGTACTAAATTTCATTTACTTTTAAATGAATTCTGTAAAGTACTTCAAACCTGCCGAGGCAATAAACCTTTTACTTATACAGTTTTTCTTTGTATGTACGGCCTCCTCTGTTACTAAGGTTTTAGTACTATAATGCTGCTCACTCTGAATGACTTCCAATCTAAACCAGGGCATTTAGCACATTATTTTGCTGACATAGGGTTTTGGTCAAATTTTCCAACTAGAACTTTGTTTTCTCAGCTGTTGCGTAACGCAAGGTTTTTATTCCGATTTCCAAACTCAGACAGCACGAAAGAATGATCTTTTGTTCCTAGTCTCAAAATTTTTGGATTCTTTCCACTGGTTTGCTTTCAGTTTCTATATGACTTTGCTACTATAATTGACACATTTCCATGTCTTGAATGAAGTAGTTAGAATGCACTAAATGCAATGACTAGAAGAAACACTCTTCTAAGTATCATATGATCTTTAGTGAGACATTCATAAACATATCAAAACATTTAGATATCTTTCACTGTCATAAACTGATCATTCAAAACAATTCTTTATAACTTGCATGACTGAAGCTTTACAACCTGTAAAAAAGAGACTTTGCTGTAGTAGTGTTTGTGAGATGTTAAAAATAAAATAAATAACTGCTCTAGTTCATAGTTGGACATCAATGGGCACTTCCTGGTTGTAATGAGGTCAAGAATTATTGTTTTCAGACTATGCTAATTAGTCACGCTAAGAAACCTAACCTATATAGAGTGTAATGACTGTTTTTGTCGTGCTAGGTGTGTTTGATGGAAAGAACTTGCAGAGTTTAGATGAAAAGCTTCTAGTAGAGGAAGTAGCTGCCAGGTGGTTGAAGTTGTGTGCCAAACATTTAAGCTTGGTTTACTTTTTCAACCTCAAGATAACTTTCACGAAAAGATCATGCGTTCCCACAATGTTGACGGCAAGATTAAGGAGATAGTTCACCCAAATTCTTTCATTATTTACTCACCCACATGCCATTTCAAACCTGTATGATCTTTTTGCTTCTGTGGACCACAAAAAAACGAGATGTTAGGCAGGATTTGCATTTCTGAATGGTGCCCAAACATGACCAAAAAGCACCATATACTACCATAGGAATAGTCCAAAACAATCGTGAGCTGTATTCCATGTCTTTTAAAATCATATGATAGATTTGTGTGACAATCAGACTGAAATTTTCAGACTTTTAATGCTATGAAGTTGAATAAATGACTCATACACACTCTTTAAAAATAAAGGTGCTTAAAAGGTTCTTCACAGCGATGCCATAGAAGAACCATTTTTGGTTCCACAAAGAACCATTCAGTCAAAGGTTCTTTAAAGAACCATCTCTTTCTTACCTTTTTATAATCTGAAGAAACAGAAAGGTTTTGTGAAACAGTAAGGTTCTTCAGATATTAAAGGTTTTTTATGGAACCATTTAGACAAAAAGGTTCTTCTATGGCATCGTGAAGAGTGTAAATTTATTTTGAAGAGTGTAAATTATTTATTTTATTTTACTTTATTATTATTTTTTTGTTGCAATTTTGGGTGAACTTTCCTTTTAATTTAGATTCCCACACACCAGGAAGTACAGGTACGTTTTGATCCACGTGCTATTTTTAGGAATGCTTAATTCAAACGAGGGCAAGACATTTGGAAACAAAAACAAAACACATCTAAGACAAACATAATATAAAAACAAGCCATTCAGTCTTTTGCCCTCTTTTAAGCCATAAAATACCAAGGGTATTGACCTTTTGATTCAACAATAGTTAATATTTGATAATGCTAAAGCTGAGTGTACATGTGCTCTAAAATATTAACATTGGATCTCTGCCTGGGAAATTTGTGGCAATAATCAGTAGAAGTCTACTTTTTTCCCCTTCTTTTTTGATGATGGGAAATTTGCACATCATGTGAAACCATTTGTGAAATGAAACTCGTCACACGCTTTTTCATAAGACTAAGCTGTAAACATATATTGTGTTAAGTTTACAGAACACAGTAACAGAATGAAGAATGTCTCGACCTAATTGAAATTCAGTTAGCAAAGAAAAACACTCTCTCTTCTCTGTGTCGCCTTGGAAAGTCCCACACTGATGTCAGCATATAGAAAATTGTCATGTGATAATATAATTTCTAAAATGCTTTTACACTACTGTGAAATGCAATAAGCTTTTTATTTACGCATATAACACACCCATGTGTTTTATATTTGCCCAAATCAGTTTATAATTATACCTATTATGTTTTCAGATTGCAATTTTTTAAAAAGTTCAAAAGCAGCTTAAGTTATTAATCCATCTTCTCATTCTTAGAGTACTTTACTAATAATTTTGTGAGAATTCTATTCTGGAAAACTGAGAGTTTTCTGTTTCACGGCTACGACTGCAACTTCCAAGCCTAAATGTGCATAAACACATGATATTCCTATGCTGTTTCATCTTTTTCAAGAAATGAAAAACAATCTTTTCATGATGTGAGGTGAACAATGAGAAGTTGACAAAGTATCTTCTTTCACAAGCTTACATAATACCCAAGTCTCCAGGAAGTTAACAGTATAAGAAAAGGAACCAGACAGGAAAGACTAAAAGGCACAGATTTAAATACTAATAACCTGTTTTGTGTTTGAGAAATGTAATGTGTGTAGGAAAGATTGAGATCTTGGAAGTTTCTGTGAAACAAGCTGTGTAACATTGGCACCAATACATACTTGTTGTGCCGTTACTTAAAGTGAATGAGCAATTGCATTAGGAATCATATTTCCTTGATCTTGGTTTTATGTACTAGGTCACTTCTGTATTTTCTTTGATATATTGATCTCTGTTACCACTGAATCTAGATCGGTCTCAGACAGAAAGAGATGCATTAACGAAAACACTAGTGTGCTATTTATGGAGGCTATATCTTTAACACCAAGCATTTCTGCAGACTCTGTTGATCTTCTCCTTGATTCCTTTAACTCAAAAGTTAAGAATGTTATTGATGACATTGCTCCTTTGAAAGTCAGCAGGAAGACTGGCAGACAGAAATCAGCTTGGAGAAAATCAACAGCAGTTCAGAGTATGAAAAGACAATGCAGAAAAGCTGAGCGGATGTGGCGGAAGACGAAACTTGAAATACACTATAGCATATATAAAGACAGCCTTCGTACTTTCAATGTGGAACTAGGCAAAGCTAGACAGTCATTCTTCTCAAACCTTATAAACAGTAACTTAAACAACACTCGCACTCTTTTTGCTACTGTTGAGAGACTGACAAACCCCCCAAATCAGATTGCCAGTGAAATGCTCTCCGACAGCAAATGCAATGAGTTTGCTTCCTTCTTTTCTGAGAAGATCAATAATATCAGGAAGGCGATTAGCACATCCCCAAGTTATGCAGAGGTTAAATATATTCGACCATAAAAAATAATAATTTTCAAAGTTTTTAAATTCCTTGTTTTATTGTTGTGATTATTGTTTTTATCTTATTTTATGTAAAGCACTTTGAATTACCATTGTGTATGAAATGTGCTATACAAATAAACTTGCCTTGCCTAGGTAAACATACTCTAACTTCCAAAACTCAAAACTCCCTCCCCTGTTTAAAATGAACATTTACTGAAACTGAATTGCAAATATGAATCTTTGATTTTCAGCACGTTGTGATGCTACAGTGTTACATTCATTCATTTATCAGACACTTTCATTGAAAGTGACTTGCAAGATCTAAGATACATGCATATGATTGTACGTTACATGTCCATGACACATATTAGGTGAGCAGGCACTTGCATCCCCCAAGTCATGGTGAAGGAATAAGAATGAAGATGCCACTATTTCTTGAAACTAACTGAAACTAACTTTTACAACCTAACAAGCAGAACAAAATGGAACCAATAAGTTATGCCAACAAGAACTCTGTCGGTTGAGCAATCTGGCAATCTGAGAAACCAAATGGTGCCTTGAGTATATTTTTGTTTATACAGCGTGAAGCCTTCCAAAAACAAGATTTTCTAGCTTGAAGAACATTGCACTTGCATGGTGTGGTTACTTCACCCCAAAAGGTCAGATTTTCAGAATACTGCAGCATATTTATACAGATTTACCCAAGCAACAGATAAGGCCTGTTTTAATTTGAACACAGGCCTTGTTTAAATATTCAACAGATATAAAGTTCCAGCTTCATATTTATTGTACCCTACATGCTGTAGTGCTCAGAAAAATCATTGACATGGGCGCCTGTATGGATGATGCCCTTGTCATACACTTGCTGGCACAAACTCTCCAGAACAAATCTGTGGGTGCAGAACCTCCTTTCACACTTAAAAACATACACAGAACATAAGCACAACTCTTCTAGTTCGCTACAATACCTTTGTTTCTTGTATAGGTTATCCAAAAGGTCCTAAGTAGCAGCCATTGTTGTGAGAGATGTTCTTTCTCCTCTTCCTCACTCTGCCTCTAAGGGTCTCTCTAAGACTTTGAAATAGTCTGCCTGAACCCACCACTCAAAGGAAGCAAAGTGGGAAATCAAGCCACTATCCGTTTGGATGGGGGAAAAAAAGTATTCTGATTTATGTGTTTCGATTCATTGCCACATAAGAAGAACATGCCAAATCACTATCCTTCAAAGAAACAAGATCATACTTGATTGAAGTTATTTAAATGGAAATAGTTTCAAAATCAAGGCTCATCAAACGTATTCTGGGCTTTTTTTTTTTTTAAACGATCTTCAAAATCATCCGTCTGTAACCCATTGTGCAAGATCCTTGTTAGTTAAAGTATCTCTTGCGTCACTTTTGACAAGTTGGGCTGTAGAAGGATTTTTAAATATGAGTCATGTTCCCTCAGTAGTCACCTGTGACAATTGTATGATGGGATACAGGACTGTTTATACATGTTGAACATGCAATCACTTTCATCCAATGATGTTGTCATTTTTTCCCTCTGGAACAGCTTTTAATTGGAAGCGATTACCTGGCAATATAGTTTACTGACATCTAAATGCGCGTGCATAATTATCAGGCACATTGATAGTCTGATGATATTTATTTTCCAAGCACATTTTACCAATTCCAAACCACATCAA